AATTAGTGAATATTCTTTACGCATGTTTATATATGACACGAATATGATCAAACTTGGCAACTCTTCTGAAAGAGGACCAAACGAGAACTGGCGGACCATGATGTCCAAGGGTAACCAAACCATGGACAAACAACCGGACAATGTCAAACAACTGGCAGGCCAATCTACAAAAATTCAAAAGGTTGTCGATTTGAAACAGATTTTTAAGAAATTTCAGTCAAAATAAACGTCAAGCTTTCTCAATTATCATCGGCTTTTTTCTGCCGATTTACATATGCGGCTAAAGATTTACTTAAAAGATAAGTTTAATCAATGAACATTTTTGTACTTGTTCACTAGATATGATAAAATCTGTCGTCTTCTGAAAGAAACAAATCGAGAACAGGCGGACCATGATTTCCAGGGAGACAAAACGAGGCAATATACCAAAGATCTGACAAGCCAGCCTACTAAAGTTCAAACATTTAACTATATTCAATTAAATAAACTTATAAAGATATTGGATCATGTTAACTTATTAAAATTAATTAAATATCTACCTTTCCGGTAATTCGTTTTGTTTTAAATTACCCTTGTCATATGTTCTCAAAGCATTTCCTTTGATAAATATGTATGTTGTGTTGTCACGTGTGTATGTGTGTTTGTAAATAAATGAATAATCTAATTGCTAGTGATAGAAATAGCAGAAATGTTGGTATCATTTTATCAAAAATTAGAAAAACGAACAAATCTCTTTTAAATAAAATTAAACTAAAAAATATACCATCATTTCCTAAATTTATCCATAGATCTATCTTTCGGTTTGTTAACAATCCGAAATGTGTTGATGCTGGGTCGGTGAACTCATGATGAACCAGCACTGGGTCACTTATTCGGTCCGTCTCCACTCGCGGGTTTGTTGAACCACTCAAACGCTCCATCCTAAAGTTCCTCACTGAAGATGCCACCAGTGCCGGTTCAGCATGAACCCAAAATGAGCTGAACATTAAACAGTTACAAACACACTTTAAGCCATTCGAACGGCAAATTCCGAGAGAAACCGGACGGAAAAGCCGTTCGACACGGAAACCTCTATTTGTAATCGGGGATTTTATTCAGCGTTCTCTCATTTCGTGGAAACCGGCTTTCTAAACCCGGACCCAATTAATAATAATGAAAAGTGCAGCTTTTAAAAATTTCCTTAACTAGAGAGATCCAAGGATCAGCCTGCTGACGTGGATGCAAGGGGATTTCCGCGACACGTAATCTCTCACGGTTAATCCATCGCCCAATTACTACGAATTTCATTGAATAGATGCGATTTAATTATAATCACCATTTGCCTACGATCTAACTAAAACTTATATATTTATGTTTTAAATCTGTTTTTATTTACAATTGGAAAATTCATTCATTAGAAATATTGAACTCTGATCGACCCAGAAAAACTGACTACCGTTATAGGAACTGGTCAAGTTTTGACATTAAACATTAAATTTAAATGGTTTTAAATTAAAACGCATGGTCTACTTTAAGACCGACTAGATAACTAACTGCTTTTATTATCCAGTAGTAAACATATAATCCAAAGAAAAATGCTCAAATCATGTAGGTCAGAGAAATTATTTTGAATTTTTTGTTAACATCGCTTAAGTTAATTTTGGCTCTTTATCAGAAATTTTTTTAAATAATAAAATTTTGATTTTTCAGGTTTTTCACTAGCATAAATAAGTCTGCCGTCTTTAACTACGAAGTTATGTTATATCTCCTTATTGTCTGTGAAGTGAATTTGGTCGTAATCGATCATTTTAGTCTGCCTATCCTCGCTGGGTTGGATTGGTATGCCAAATGATCGACCAAATTTTATAAAATGTTTCAACGAATTGACTTAGAAACAGTAAACAAACACGCACGATAAATTTGTCTGTGTTATTATTATTATGCTAACCTTGACATGATAACGTTAAAATTACTGATTACTGATTTATATAAGTTTATTGTTTTATTTGATTTCTAGTGACTTTCCATGGATTCTTCGATCACTACCACCATATTCGTTATATCGTTTTTATTGCCACAGCTTGATGACTCGTAGATTTTCATGAGAATAGATCGGTTATTGCTTGAAAATTCTCAGTCAGAAAAAAATACATAATTTAGGTGGGTAGATTGTGAGATTTCCTTCCCTGGTCTGCGAGGAAACACACTGAAGATGGCGAAATGTCTTTGACAGACCCACGCAGCGAAGCAGAGATGATGTGCTATTTAATCTTTAAAAAGTGTGGTTTTTATTTTTCTTTGAAATTGATTAATTATTCCACTTTTTCAGGTTTTTTGAATTCTGGATCAAACAATTAGCCAACAAATGCCAGATTAAATACCAAAATAAATTAATTAATTCATTGGTACGACAAAACTCAGTAGTTAAATTTTATAGTATTTGAATTATTTTTCTTCTTTTCTTTTAACTGATTTTATAAAAGTTCAAAATGGTCAGTCCCCGATCATCCTTGTCCGGATATCCTCGTTGTTTATCTGTCGGACGCATTTCACTATTTCATAAACTTCTGTAGTATTTTCGTGCATCATACATAAAAATATGTTCACCTTACAAGTTAAACATAAAGAATTAAGAAACAAGAGTCACGGAACAATCACTGAAACGCAATGACATACGGGTCTTATAGAAAAAAAACCAGCGAGGATAGGCGGACCAGGATATCCAAAAACCAAACGTACCGCACAGACGTCACCAACAAAAAATGTCACCACGGAAACAATGTTATTTATATAGTAATAAATAATAATACTACATACGGTCCACTGAGAAACTACTTTTGGTTTAGAGTTATAAATTAATTAGTTTTAATTGTCCTATTGGTTTTTTTTATTGCATATAAGACCTAATAGAATATTTTAATTTCTTATGCCTATAAGGTTTAATTTTACCTATGAGTTCATAATTTTTCAACAGCTATTGTGTTTATTTAATGTATTTTTCGTTTACGACAATCAATATTTTTGGTTTTTCATTGATGTTGTTGAAACGTTCACCCCCAAATGTAAATTTGAAACACAACGATCTTTGTGAAAAAATGTCTTAATTATTCAAGCCTACACATTAAAAACGCATTTCAGTCTGATTATCAAAATTATTTTCGCCAAATTAGTTTATTTCACTACCCAAATCAGTAGGATTGGAGTCATTGCTCAATTGCTTAATAATTGATCCGGGATACTTCACCTTTCTTACATTTGTAGGGGAAAATATGTAAGTTTGATCTAAATCATCGCCGATTTGTTGCAACAGAATGATACATGATCCTTAACATCCTGCGCTTAATATTTAAGTTCCTTTTCCCTCAGTAATTATCTTTCCGCAAATAATTCTACGTTGGAGGATATTTTATTAATCAAAACTTCCCCAAGAACATAACCCTATAAACTTTTATTAAAAGCTTTACAAACTCGAGAATCTGGAACGGATCCCTGGTCGACTGTAATTTGCATTTATTTCTTCTTTTTGGAACAATTTGATAGCTGCGGTATTGTTTTAAATAACAATTTATGTTAATAACTTTTCTCGTTTGCTTATGTTTATGTTATAGGTTTGCATAATATTAAGTGGTAAAGTTGTTTTAACTTTATAGTATTTTTGTATGAGACTTTATTTTATTTCATTTTATATACCTTGTCGACCTGAAACTCCTTGGCAACAACCCAACATGAGTGTTTGATAAATAAATTTAACAAATTTAATTGTAATATTTTGTTAGTATATAGTAGTATAATAAAAACACAATTACACATGGAGTGATTAACTTTTCTAATTGCAAATTATTAAACTCCTGAATTTATTTTGTTATTATAAACTCGTAACATTTTTCGTTTTAGCATTGATATATATTAGCCTATACAATGCATATTGACCAATATGTATGGGACAATATAGTGAATGCTTTAGTTTAGTGTTAATTTTATCAATTTATTATTTTCTAATAGGCTGTTTTTCTGTTCTTTTTAACAATTTATTCGGCCAGATGTAGTATTTTAAATATTCCTTAATCTTTTCACTTTACAGGATATATTTTCAGTTTCTAGTCTCAGCTTTGGAGAGGTAATACCACGTGAATTATTTTTGTCTTTTTTGTTTTTTGTAAACTTCCATTTATCCCTGGGCGGTGTCGTAGTCTAATAACCCAATTTTAAACAGTACGGTAATTTTATGAAGTAGTTTTGTTGAAATTGTAGTTGAATTATACATAAATTTCTTGTGAACACGGTGGCCGGGTGGTTAGCGCGTCTGACTCGTATTTACCACGTCGGCGGTTCTAAGTTCGAATCCTGGCATAGCTCATGGGTTTTTGAATGAAAATAGTATTGTAATGTGGTTTGCACCATCGTCCGCGTCAACCACTTGGTAGTTGGACGTTAAGTCCTCCTATATAACAGAAATTACTTTACTACTTATTTTAAAATTTTGTCATTTTTTTTTTAAATATGGCATCGTTTACACAAATGTCATGTTTTAATGTTTTAATTTCACAAGTAATTCAGAAAACTATTTTTATTTATTTCAAGCATCCAAGATTTGACAGACAACGACTCTAGACCCTAAGCAAAGTCAAAATTTAATTACACTTTGACTAAATTTGAAATAAAATATCTGAAGTTCTATTAATAGTAAAACTTTGGTGTTTAATTCTCCAGGGACAAATATTTTATGGTTGTATATAATTTAATTGTATAACGGTCGGCCAGTTGGGAAAGAAAGTCAACGAAAGAAGATATAAATCAAACCTTTCAAAGATTTATAAAAATTATAGATAAAACGAGATCAATAAACATCCCCTGACCTATGTTCAAAAAGATTTGGTCAGAATACAATAAAGGTTAACAATGTACGATAAACTTAGCTTCAACCCAAGTTTTAAAAAATGAACATTCAAATGCATGCAAGTTTTATTGTGGCTTTTAGTTTGGATTCTTTTTCAAAATAAGCATAGGTTTATAGACGATACCTGTTTCTTCCACTTGGGCACGTATTTGGCTGAGGCGACGAGCCCGATGCAGGCGATGAAGACTATGATGCTTGTAGAGGTCCAGGGCATTGTCGCGAGACGAGTGGCTTAGGGTTCAAGTTCAGGGCGCTTGCCCTACTTGGGTCATAACAGTTATACACCCCACCCCGAGGAGGCGGCATATATGTATGTGACCCACTAGCACACTCATAACGGGAATGGTCGGGTCGTCGACCCACGGTCCGGCTACCACTTTTATTTTCCGCGCTACCACGAACACTCAGACTTCGGTTTGTCAAGTCATGGAAATACGGATCTCGGCTTCCTTCCCTATCACATTTCATCGCCGCGGTTTAGAGTTGTAGCATTGTTGTAATCTTTTAACATATGAAAATGATTTTTTTCTTTTTTTAATTAAATTTATACCTACAACGTTATATAATTAAGATCATAAGCAAGCAAAGTTGCATGCAAGTCCATGAAAGAAGGACCTTTTGGGCAAAACCATAGTCCAGATTGTGTACTATTTTCAAGCGTTCTCTGTACAATAGGAACAAGTTATTTTATTCGTAAACTTACTTTTACATACAGTACGTTCTTACAAGTAAATTTTTTTAAAAATTTAAACTGTCTTTGATGGTCAAGTTATGGTTGTCAAAGAACATTCTGTTAGAGCGGTTTTGTGAAGTGAAGTGGCTCGGGTGATGATGTACAGGCATCATTTGGTCTAAATCAAGCTTCTACACATCATCCTCCACTTTTTTATTATCGTGTTTGCCTCTTCGTTCAAAGAAAAACATGCACTAATGCCTTTAATACACGTACACTTTACTGAAAGTTGCAACAGGTAGATGGTAAAAGAACAAGTTTCATGTTTTCTACTTTTTAAATAATCTTTCCACAAACGACATCCTCTGGCATAGAGTAAGTTACACATAAGAACTCGTTTTCGTGATGCTTCACGTTTCTCCAGGCAACTTGCCTAAAAATTTATCCTGAGTCTCTTCACTCTGCATGTTGGGAAACTTCATGATAAACTATGGCATGTAAACAAAAACAGAAGCCATCCAGTGATGGGAGCTGTTAGTATATCATGATGGGATCGAAGGGCTCCAACCTAGGAAACAAATGTCAAGCAGTGAGGTTGTTGCAGGACCATCCATGCATCCTCTTCGAGGATCATCAAGTAAATTAGTGGATGGCAGGTTTTGACAGAAGAACTCGGATGACAGGATAGTTTGGAACATTTTGTGGTGGGATTGAGCAAAATTAGTCAAGAGGTTAGGTTGGTGTTGACTATTGTTCAGAAAATGTTATATTGATAGTGCTGAATTCGTTTAAAGGGAATGCTTAGCAGTATTGAAGAGTTCCAAATAGGAGCCTGTAAGCAATGTAAAATCTTCTTTTGTTTGTCAGTGTAAGGTTAGATAGTCTGTCGAGCAGTATTTTTAAAATAAGAAACCGTATGTTAGAGACTGTGCGTTTAAATCGTGTCGGGAAGTTCCACATCAGTCATTTGTCTTGGTAGAGTTTTGAGTATCATAGATAGTTCCAACATAGTTGCAGTATACTGGCGAGACTTGTTATTGTTTAGAGTGAATATTTGGTGTTTATATGAATTTGGTTTGGTTGGTCTTACTTCTCCACTGTCGGAGCCAGGATTCAAGGATATGCAGGTGATTTTGTAGATTACGGAAAGGCGATATTTGTCATGAGAAATGATTGTGGTATCATCGACAAATGAAAGGGTGTGATAGTGTTAGGTTGTGTGGGTAGGGCGGATGTGTAGAGTGAGAAAGCAGGGAGCGAGGATGCAGCCCTATAGTGCACCTGCTAGAATATAATACATAGGAGGTAATGAAATTTTGTGAGATATTTGGAAGTAAAGATCTTTGAGATAGGATCTTAGGATAAGGTTAAGGTAGCTAGTAGAATGTGCTTTAGTTTTCACAACAGTCCAAGTGCCATACTTAGTCAAAGAGAGAGAAGTAATTGTTTGTCAATTTTGTAAGAATGGATGGTCTTGGTCTTTGCCCTTAAGCATTTTGCCCAAGGTGTACATCTATCCATTGGAGAGAATGGGATATATTTTTATATCTAAGGATTTTTTAGTAGCAGTCATCAGAAATTATATACATCTAGAATTTGTTGTTGAAATAATTGTGAAGTTTCTTTGGATAAGTGTTTAGTCAAATGAGTGAATAATCTTTTGCCAAAGGGGTATCAAGTACAATTCTCCATTAAAAAATTGTTTTTTTTACAACAAAAAATCTCATTTATTACATTACCTGTACTTATGAGCTCATAACTTTGCCCTGATAGATGCTTCTTTTTGACATCCTCTCTTCTCTATTACTCTTCTTTTTAACATATGTAATTTTCACAGTCTGCACACTTTCTACTTCACTCATATTGTCACGCTTATCACATAAATAAATCACATCATCTCATAATCACAGACTTTATGGCAACGCAAAAGGATTCAGGGCAAATAGGTGTCCTCATCAAACTTTTCTTGGTCAATTTCTCGGCCTCTTCATTGTGTAATTGCCCTTCTGCCCTGTGTACGCACACAAGGGAAATTTTCTTTTGATCCCCAATGTCTGACAGGGCTCTGATGCAATCCTAAATGGCTTTGAACTTTATTACTGCTGACGCTGATGAGGTAGTTGCTCTTAGTACCACCTGGCTGTACATGTAGTTGACTATTTTTTGTTAACATTACCTAACCTTTTCATCTCCTTGGCAGAGTGTTTAATAAACACATTCTTTGCTTGAAAACTTGACTATTGCCCAAGGCTTATATCAATCCTAGTCCTTGATTCTTTCATTTATAAGGAAATCCCTTCTCTGTATCAATTCCTTCAGCTAAATTTATTCCACAATCTATTAACAAATCTTTCTGTTGTAATGCATCCATGTCCTTTCATTACTGCAGGTTGCCAATTGTTTTTGGTAATTATCTTGTATCAGAACCTTTAGATGATAATTATAACTGCTTCATTACACTGCTCCAAAATGTTCTCAAGGAAAAAATCTGCACAATTGCAAAAAAGTAATTATTTTTGGAATTACTCCATTATGTTTTCACCATTACGTACCCCCTGTAATCCTGAATAATCAATTTATCAAATTCTAGTTTATTGAAAATTTTGATCAATAAACCTACTTTTTTGTGTGAATTTAAATTTTAAAAATATAATTTGTTGTAAACAACATTTTGGGCTCCCCTTGTAAGTGGGTACATGTATACTGCCCATACATCCTTACCACCTACGCAGACGATATTGCAATTTTATCTCCTAATTCCAAACCTACCCAAGCTACCTCTAAAATCTAGGAGCATCTTGAGCTCATTGAAGAATGGTCAAAACATGGAAATTGAAACTGAACGAGGACATATGCACTCAAGTTATGTTCATATTAAACAAATAGCACTGCCCATATTTATACGTTAACAGTGAAGAACTACTTACATCACATTAAAATACTTAGAGTTATATTTAGATAGTAGACTAATGGGGGAATCTTCACACAAGATTCAAGCGACAAGAACTAAATAGACAATTTGGACAACTACAAAGACTTAAAGGACCAAAATCAGACTTGAAAGTAAAGAAGAAACTAATACTGTATAAAACATTACTTCAACTTATTTGGACAACAGAGTGGGACTGTGGGGTACCACCAAGCCATATAATATCCAGCAAATTGAAGCATTCCTATCAAAAGTCCTCAGAAGAATTCAGCAAACTCCTTACTATGTCTCTAACCTCACTAAATAAATATTTATTGTAATGAAGCTACATTGCTCTTACTAAGAGATACATAATCTTACAATTCATATCGAGAGATATGTCTATAACCCCTTCGATCTGATGATGAACGGTTAATGCTTCAAATCTGGATTGCTGTAAACAACAAATATGTCAGTAGAACATCATTTACAAAAAGTGAAAGATAGTGAGTGTTCCTTCATTGTTTTGTTGAAAATAATTCTAGGGGTTCTTTTTGAACTCTAAAACAAATTACTTTGAGATCCATGTCCCTAGTGACATATGTCATAAAATGCCCTGAAAAAGTCCAAAGTAGACCGTTTCTAATAATTCAATATTTACAACCTCTCTTAGTCTGTACAAGATAAGACAGACTTTTAAGACTTTGGTACAAATGTAATTGGTATTCTCACTCCTGCTGAGAGTTTAGTCTAAATAAATACCAAGGAAACAACAGCTCTTAAGGGCTGTAACATAAACACACCACGACTAATACATCTATCTAAACCTATACCAAAGAATTTGGCACTAGATATTTGGTATATTTTATGTTTACTTTTATGACAAGTTAAAATGTAAGAATTGGTTTTTATTAACAATACGAGTCGAAAAGTTTGCAAAGAAATAATCATAAATAACATTCAACATATATCTCTGATCCATCATGTATCTAATAACTAGTATCAACTATCTACAATGTCCTTAACATTCCCTTTGGCAAGAATTGATCCGTTCTTTCCAATCTTACAACCCTCAAGCCTTCTCCACCTCTTCCCATCCCAAGAAACCTCTACATCGCCCTGAGACCACCTTGCCCTTAACCAACCCCTTAACCACAAACTGAGTACTAGCATTAGCTGTCTTCTCATAATACGTTTCCTCCAGATGCAGTACTAGCAGTGTTAGGGTTTTTAATATTTTATATCATTAAGAACAATTTATAACGTGTATAATTCATGAAAAGGATACAAATAGTTTTTTTTAACTTCTACCATCAGTCAAAATTTTTATTTTTGTGCACCAATAATGGATGACAACCCTTTCTTCTTATTCTGCTTTCCTATTTATATATTTTTTATATCAAAAATATAATCAATTTTTTTAATTATGTATTTCGTTATTTTATCGTATATTATTATACTTAATTTATAATTGGTCTTGTAATTTTTTACCCTGTGCTTTAATGTCTAGTACCTTGACAACTGTTCCAAGGTTGTGTGGGATATAATAAATAAAATAAATTTCAAAGTTTCATTTTGATTTTATTAATGAAAACCTGGTTATATATTTTTTATATGTTTAACGTATTTCAGTTAATTAATAAAATTGAAAATCTAAATTCGTAAACTGAAGTTTCTGTGAGTCTTGGCTTGTTCTGGTAGTAGTGAAGTACCTATGTACGCGCACCACGCGGCCCTCGTGTGTTTAGCAGGAAGGTTACACGACTGTTTCCTTGCCTATTGTTGACATTATTGTTAAGTTCTCTTTAACAAAGTGGTTTTTGTTTATAAATTATCAGGTATTTGTGATAACATTACTCAATTTACTACTATATGTGTAATAGACAAAGAAAACCCAAGTTTAAAGACATCAAAAAGATTTTGTATCTAATTTAAAAAAAAGTTTAATGATTAAATAAAAACAAGACAATTTTACAACACATTGCATCTGGTTTAAATAAATTTTTCAGGAAAATGTATTTCAAGACAAAGTCTACAGATTATATTCCAATAACTGCGATTCAACTTTTTAAATTTTGTTCTTAAGCATGTATGTTTTCCTTTTGTGACAAGGTGAGGAGTCTGTAGCATGATCATTCCTGATCAACATTGTCAATCTATTGCCACTAGATTTTATACACTCAAAGACAAAACTGGGCAGTTGTATTTATTTTTTATTTTCCATAATAGCAAGGTATAAAAATTAATAGCTTAAAACGTAAACACAACATTAATAACTTCTTGTTTAGCTTTATATAGTGTTACAAATTCTTTTTAACTCCTTAAAAACAAAGAAAATCAGTACAAATTCATCTTTTCCAGAGCCAACTTGTCGAGTGTTTTTTTTTAATTGTCTTCTTTGATGAAACCATAAACTTGAGTTTAAAAAAATTCTTAAAAGCATGGTTTTAAGTCTAGAACGCCCTGGCAGATGCTTTTACCAATTATAGACACAGTATTCATTATATATCCCAAGTCCTGGGTGTGCTGTGCTCTGCCATTTGATAGCCTACACTATGTTCGCGAACTAGGTTCGTCTTTAGTGTGTACACTTCTGTTCACGAACATTCGAAAGCATTCCAATTTTTTGGTTTTTGGGCAAACTCAAATGAGAGCGAAGTAGGTTCATGAATGGCATTTATAATGTGTACCACTCTACAAAACCATCCTTTGTGCAATCTCCAAAAGCATGGAGTGGACGGAGGAAAAATGTCTAGTTCTTATCGAACTCTACCAAAAATACGATTTTAGGTCCAACAGGAAGTATAGTTAGCTCTCTTTTTATAGAAAATTGCCAAAAAATAACGGGCCTTCTATAATCTTCAGTGGATGAATATATTTTCTGCACTAGCCAATATCTCGGATGACATGTAAACCCTACGTTCAGGTGAACACTGTGGATCTCTTGCGAAGCAACCATGTTCACGGACTCGTCTACTCTTGAAGTGGTTACAAGATCATGGAGTGCTATTGGTTCACAAACATAGTGGGTACCCAGCTTACCGTAGTTAAAGCCACTGAACATCATGATCGAAAGTAGTGGTCGACCTTAATGTGACGATGGCTAGAGACAATCTTTTTTTGTTCTTATCGCATTATGGAACTGTAATTTAGCAGCTTCCTTCATAGGTAGACAACTTCAAATAATCCTAGTCTAGACATCTTGCATCAAGTGCTCTATTACTGGAGAAGCTTGAGTAGGAAGGCGACTATGCGCAAATCAGCATCTTGCTTGGACCTTTGAACAATAGGAGCAGTTCTCTTCACAGATGAGTGCTGTTTGGGTCTGTGATAATCAGATGGCCCGGACTGTGGGTGGAGAAGTCGTGGAGAATGCATTGCTCCATGTGCTATGCTGAGTCACTCCTTTTCAAAGACAGTCATGGTAAGGGGTGGAATCAACATCCATGCCCATACCGAACTGATTTATTATACAGAATGGATCTTTGACTGCTGTAATGTACATTGAGGGAGTTCTTCTGGAATATGTTTCCATTCGCTCCATTTCTTCGGGACAACTTTGTGTTAATGCTTAATAATGCTCGATCGCATGTAGCACAAGTTATCACCCATTACTTGGAAGATGGTAGGGATTACCGCAATGAATTGGCCAGCACGTTCTCCTGACATGAATCCTATAGAACTTATGGGACATGATAAAGAGACGGGTTAGACATTGTCCGCATCCAAAAAGCGTTGCACAGCTTCAAACCGCCTTTGTTGAAGAATGGGATTCTGTTTCACTAGAGAAATCTGGTCACTTATTTTCTTGTGCTTAGGAGGGTTAAGGCCCTCTGCGAGGCCAGAGTAGATAATCAAGCAAAATCAAGTGATAAATTTTAGTTATACTTTAAACTATCACTAAATGATTTTCTGATGTTTTTGTGAATTTTCTTTCATACCATCATAATTAAATATTTTTTTATTAAAACATTAATTTTTTATTAATTTGGGGTATATTAAAATAAGTGTGTTGTTTTTTGTGACTGAGTGTATTTAAAAAGATTTTTGTCATTTTCATTGGCTGGTCTGGTCACCATTTCATATTTAGACATGAAGGCCTGATAGTCACAGTCTTTCAGCCTTCCTTAATATTACGTTGATAATTTCTTGGAAAATTATCTCCATTTCAGAGTGGCACTACCAAGCAACTTTCATAGTCACAGACTTGTCCTATTTCTGTTTCTTCTTGGAAGAGTCAGCAGTTTCTGACTCAGTTTTTTTTAAATAGTTTTCAATGAGGCCAGGGGAAAACAATAAATTAACTTTTGTTTTCTTGTTAGATTTGTCAACATTAAAAGTAATGTTGACGATGAGACTTTAATTTTAATTCCTATGGAAAACCTTTTTATTAATTATTTTGTTAATAATTTTATGATTGTAAAGCAATGTGAAGTTTTTATTATTTGTTAAAAAGTTGATTGCTTGGCTATCCTGGCTATGCTTGTCATCAAGCAGATGGAGGATAGCCAGAGATAACCAGCTACAAAATCTTACAAGTTTAATAAAATAAATGGAATATAATATTCTTATTTTGTTTTAGTTAATTAAACTTGAAATGGAAACAGACACTACTTCAAGCAGCCAATTGGATACTGATAAAACAAAAGGCGAAAGCTCTATAAAATTGACCATTCTCCAAAAATTCCAACAGCTGAATGATGATATTCAAAAAGAAAGGGAAGTCGGACAGAATGCATCTGACAAATCAAGAAAAAATAAAAAATATACAAATAAAGGTTGTAAAACCATCTTTCCTACAGTAAACATAAATTTAACTGATATATTTTAGGGAAAAAAAGAAAGCATCAGCATGAAGACGATGGAATATATGTTGGTCTAATGGAGAGAGATGTTGGAATGACAGAATTTATTAGCGATTTAAAAGGATTTAAGGGGATAATTAAACATAGGTAAAGAGATCTTTCATACCTTCATGCTTATTTTGCAAGCACTTTAATATTTGTGTGAATAAACTTTTCTTATTAAAAACAACTATATATTGGGTTATAAAATAAGTCCATAGTGTTTTTTGATGGTAAATTCAATCAAAATTTCAGCCCCTCGTAAATAATGTAATCAACAATATATGAACCATTTTGTATCACTACCTGTTGTATAATTCCATCCTTCCTATTAGGTGTTTCAGCGATGAACTGATTTGTTTTCTGCACTCCTCAAGCTCAAGTTAAACTTACTGAGAGCAGGGTGTTCATTTTACTTTTTTTCTATATTATCTTTCTTTAATTTAATTTATTTATATTTATTATTTAGTTCTCTCAGAATAATGTATTCAATATGCAGCAAATGAATTAATTTTTTTAAAAAGATAATTCAGCTACAAGGTTATATGAACCGTTGGGGTGCCGGTGTTTTTGAAAAAAAAAAAATAGCACATTTGTAAGTATGCCGAGTTTGAATCAGGGCTGCTGGATTCAAACGTGGGACCTTTACCTTACAGTGATAGCGCTGAGTCAATGCTTAAACCGTTGTGGCCACCAAAGCATTGATGCTTCGTTTTAATAATTAAGGAATTATACAGAGTAATTATATTAAGTATTTGAAAAATATGAAAAAGAGATCAAATAAAGTTTTAAAACTAATCTTAAAAATCATTTGAAAAAATTTACATTTTTAAATTTTCAAAAGTAAAAGTATGTCAATCTTGGATGTAATTGAAGCCTGCAAATACATTAGGAGGAATTTCTTTTTTACTATTTTCCGAATCAAAATACGAGCCAATCTCTCTGATTTGTCAAGTCCAGGATTTTTTATTTCATTTTATTTAGTTATTTTTATTTTTTTGTGCATCCATAGGTTTATGTTTTGCTTTATCCCTTGCCTACAAATATTTTACAATTTTTGGAAGGCATCGTTTATTAGTTGTCTTAGATGGGACATACTGGGTTTACAGTTGCATAATTATGCTTGGCAAAAATGAAATGTTGGCTGCAATGAAACTCGATAATTTATTTTGCCTTTCCTAGGGCTATAGCGTTTTCTTCTAATTTTGTGATGATGTCCTTAATTTTTGAAAAAAGTTTCAGTATAGTTTACGGTAGCTTTTACCATCCCCCCAACTCATTATGACAGGTTGTGGTGGAAGTGATAAATCTGGATTGTTATCCTTTACTCAATCTTTAAGGAAATACTTTTTTATGTTTGATATTAAAGAATCTACACCTGAAAATTCACTTTTCTCAAAAAATTTTGTTAATGTTTTGAAATCTACAGTTCTCTGAAACCATTTTTACGTTTTTTGATCTTTTTTTTTTAATTTTCAGTTATTTTATTCTTTATTTTATTAAATATGAGCCAAAGTATGTAAATCAAGATAAGCTATGTAATTCTATGTAAAATCCTCCAAATATTTACAAATATGTAAAATAAAATACAGTTTATTTGCTCCTAAATAGCTACAAACATAAACATAAAAATTTAATACATGGTGTACAAGGCCCAGGAAAAAAATGTGAATACATATAAATCTGATCCTTTTCATCATCATACACTTCACAAATTTCTCTTGCTGTTTAAGCTGCAGTTTTCACTTTGTGGCAATAAAAAAACCATTAAATGACAATGCACTATTTTTTCCTCCATTTTAAATTATTGGCAAAACACCTAAAAATATGAGATCTAATGTGAAACCGATCAATAAAAATGCCTTAACTATTCCCTTTTCAGAGTGTGTAAGTAATAACTAAATAAATATTGCTTTATAACCCAAGAGGAATAAAACTGAATTATTGGTAAACACTATGGACTTATTTTACAATCAATTATATAAAATATGATGGTGGTTGTTGGTCTGCGAGTCACTAAACACATGTTGAATCGGACTGGGTTGGTCTGTTCAGGTCCCTCGCAAAGATTGTGCAAATCTGAAATACATTTGTGTAGACAGACTCAGTACCGGCTCAACATGTGTACAATATTAATAAATCTGAGATAGAAAAAAGATGGATTTCACTATTGATTTAAGAATTCTGTCAATTATAATTGTATTGGAATTATTCAAATTGGTGTGAATACCATAACATCTACAGGTAGATATTAAGTTTTTGCTCTTAGATGTCCTGTATCCAATTAATAATACAACTGAAAAGAAAAATATTTTGGAGCGAGGCTGTTTGAGATCAATTAAATGCTGTGATAAATATGTCTGTTGTGATTGAGTTGTTTTGATTTTTTCTTAGACTCTCAGATTTCCAAGTACATGAAATAGATCTAAAAGGCAACGTGGTTCAACTGACATCTTTTGACACCCCACCTTTTGAAGAAGATACAGGAAAAGGTATCGTTCAGATACAATATTTAAATTTAAAAACCAAACTTACAATGGCAGTTACAGATATACCATGTGAAAATTATAAGGATCTTATAAAACCAGAAGACATGACGGAATTGAACAAAATAATGAATGATGAACAACAGATTTCTTATGAAATAGATGTACGTTGGATTCAAAAACCTTCTGCCTACTTGTTTTTATCTTACAAAATTGTCACATAATTTTTGCATTTCAGGTAACAGGAATGACGAAGAAAGAGAGAGAAAATATGCACAAAACAATAAAGTACATGTTCGACAATAAGCTTTACAGCAATACAAAATCAAAGACGACTGACGATGTTACAAAAACATTCTTAGTGGTTAAGAAGTGCTCGCAAAAACCTGGTATACATTTACCATCAGATCATGGTTTGACAGTTTTATTTTTATGTTTTTTTTTCTTTTCTCTTTTTTTAATAGACAGATCGAGTTGGCCTGAACATGTAGGTCGTTATTTGCATTTCACACTTTATAAAGAGAATATGGACACCACGTTAGTTGTGAACACAATATCTCAAAATCTTCGGTAAAAATTATAAGTACATTTCTGATTCTTTCTATATTTTATTTTTTGTAATGGATTTGTTTTAAATTTGATTTCCCTTCCCCTATAAAGACTTCGTCCCAATCATATAACTTATGCTGGTATCAAGGATAAAAGGGGAAAAACTTCACAAAGGATGTGTATCAAGATGAGGAAAGCGCAGGAATTGGTTAGAATGAAAAAATTCCTACGGCAAGCATCATTCGGCAATTTTTCCTACGAAACTGCACCTTTGAGGCTAGGCGATTTATCTGGAAATCAATTTACTTTAGCCATAAGGTTTTATATTTAAATTTTCTTATAAATTTTGATTGAAAAATGACAATAATTTGTTCAAAAAATAACCGTAGGAATATTGAAACGGAAGACAGTGAATTAATAAAAGGAATTGAACACTTGAGAGAATTTGGTTTTATAAATTACTTTGGCATGCAGAGATTTGGTAGCTCTATTGTAGCGCCAACTTTTGCCATAGGCAAACAATTGCTTTTGACAAATTGGAAAGAGGTCAACTATACATAATTTTGATATAAATCTGTAAATAAAAACCATACTTTTTATTGATTCAGGCTGTGAATCTAATATTAAAACCTCGTTACAATGAAAGATGTTCTCCCGAGTTGAAAATATGTCGTGATGTTTGGGCAAAGACGCAGAATGCTGCTGCAGCATTGAAGCATTTGTCTCGTAAGGAATCATCACTCGAAGTTCAAATACTGAGGGCCTTAAACAAACAAGGCAATGAACAGTATTTCAATGCTTTCTTTTCTGTAAGTCTAGGAATAAGTGTACACAATTCCAAATTTAAAATAACTTTTGTTTTTAGATACCTAGGAATTCTATGCTTCTTTATCTGCATTCTTATCAAAGCCTTGTTTGGAATAAAATTGTGTCTAGACGTATAAAGAAATTTGGATACAGAGTGCTCCCTGGTGATCTAGTATTATCTTCAGATGTTGATGAAATAGCCCTTGATCAAGATTTGTCTGAATCTACTGATCTTAATGATTGTGATGATGTTGATGAAAATGAAATAGACAGTAATTTACAGGAAGTTACCGTAAATGCTACAAGTAAATAATTTGTCAATAATCATCAGAAATGTTAAAAATTAATACTGTGCATTTAAAACTCTTAGGAGCTCAAAAAGGTCGTTTGGAAGTGCGAAAGTTGTCCCCAGAAGAAGCCGAAATGACAAAACTCTCTGAAATTGTTTATCCCTTGCCTGGAAAAGACGTTGAATTTCCTGACAATGAAACTGCCAATTGGTACACAGAAGTGTTAGCTGAAGACGGCCTAACTTTAGAACATTTTGAAAAATCCAATAAGTAATTTGTATTAAGTAACATAAACATCACATGATTTCTGTTATTTTAATTTTTTTACAGGGCGTTTACGTTATACGGCGCATACCGTAAAGTTGTTCAGATACCAGAAAATCTCACATATAAAATAGTTAAGTACTCTAGCCATGATGATGATTTTATTCTTTCTGACCTCGACAAAATGAAAAATATTACTTTGAAAAGTTCACAAGGTAACATCAATTTTAACATAAAATTACAATTATTAATTTAATATTATTTTTTAAAATTATTAACAGAAGGTCAGTATAAAGCAGTCTTATTAAATTTCAATTTGAAATCATCATCGTACGCTACAATGCTTATGAGGGAATTGATGAAGTTTGATACGACATTGTCAACTCATGCTAAATGGTCAAAAGAGCTCAAAAGTAACAAACCAGAAGAGAAGAAGATTAAGTTTGAAGGAGTGGAAATAGATGGGAAAAAAGAAGAAACTGAGGCAGTTAAAATTGAAAGAGATGATAAAGAAACTATCATGACAACTAAAATAGAAACTGATGAAGAAAATGGCAAAAACTGAAAGAATGAGTTAAAATGTGTAGAGATTAGTGACCGTTAATTGATAGCTATTCAGATATCGTGAGATGCGGTCGGGTGTGACGTAGGTTTCAGAAAAACATTTTCTTTATCGTGCTAACGTTTCGATCTTTTATTTGAAGATGATCTCAATAAAAGATCGAAACGTTGGTACGATAAAGAAAATGTTTTTCTGAAACCTACATCACACCCGACCACATCTCACGATATCTGAATAAGTATGAGTTTAGCGAAACATTAAAGAAAAGGATGCCAATGAAAGAATTGTGAAAAATAATACATTAACTTTTAAAATGATAATAAAAAATGACTTGTGAGCATTAAAAAAAAAGATAATGCATTTTTAAGTTGTGTATTAAATTACATTTCATAATAAAATCAATTATAATATATTTTTTAAATTGCGATTTTACAATTCCTTGTTTGATTTCCCATTCATCCATAGATATAAGAACTTATTCAGCAATTGATGCTCTTGTACTGCACATTCATGCTAATAAATACATTCTCATGAAACAAAACAAAAGAGAGTGGTTGTGGGTTCGATTCCCACCATTGCCCCTGGTGCTTTTTTTCACACAACTCTTCCACTAAAAAAATATAAATAAATAAAAAACACATAATATCAAGTTCCTTGTCTAATATGCCATAAGGCCATTAAAAAAATACATTATTAAACTTTTTAAATAAATGATAACAACATGAATTACAATAAGAAATTCTTTGTGTAAAAATATCCGTTTCCTCCAAAAATCTGAACAGAGTACCCAAAGATGTGCTGCATGGTACTCCAATATTTTTATATCGGGTGGCATTCCTCCTTGCTCTATATTGAGCCGAGGAATGGCAAACCTCAATTAAACCAGACTGCATGCACTTTCATAGGCTTACCCAAAAGTGTCAACTTCGTACAGTCCATCATGAGTTGCATTTTGATGATCCTCTGTGATTTAGATTTTCTAGGGGCTACCATTGACCGAGCTCTTGATGTTTAAGGGTTTCTCGGACAACTTGGTCTACTGTCCTGTCACCTTTTCTTTACCATTTTTACCACACACACCTTTTTACACATTTAGTGTCAGTATGTCAGAACGAGGTAGTAAGCTACAGAGAATGGTTTGATTACCCAGACAACTTTTTTTTTTTCTTTTACTCAGGTAGTTGGTGCCTAAGAAGTAGAATGAATCCAGAATGAACAACTCCAAGGTGTGTGCCAGATTGCATACAATTAGGTTGTGTACACACGGCAAGTGCCCATGAAGTGCACATCTTCCACTGTACACAGTGCAAATTACACCTAATAAGGTTCTAGACACATCTTTGAAGATGAGGTGAAAACCAGCATACCTCAACCTAAGTTCGAGTGTGAGAATCAAATTAAACTTAAATCCTGAAATCAAACAGTGAACATCATGTTGATAAATCAACTATTTTCTTATTTCAATTAACAAACAAACAACTTGTTCACCGTTGAGGGCCGTTGGTGGCCACAACGGTTTAGGCGTTGACACGACACTCATCACTGTAAGGTGAAGGTCCCGGGTTCAAATCCAGTGACCCCACAATTGAACCCGACATACAAATGGGCTTTTTTTCAAAACCACCGGCACCCTGAGGGTTGATATAACCTCTGCTGTTGCGAACCCTAGTAAAAAAATAAATTTTAAAAAAAATTTGCAGATGAACAACCACACCAGTATTTAGTCCCCAGCAATATGCTGCTTATCTTACTTAACAAAACAAGACATCAATAACAATTTTTTTTACTTAAAATGTAACTGTTTATTTTTGAGGAAAAGCCTGGTTTATGAGAATTAGAAAAATTGTTTTTATAGAAAAACAAATCCGAGAGTTCGGTATTAATCCAAAATCAGTCAAAATCTCATTAAATGGCTTATGAGGCTAAAGCAACTGAGGTCTCGCGTAACTTTCCGGATTCACCATGTTGTTCACTAAATCTGGCGACTTAGGTCTCTGGCTCGTCGCAGATAAAGCAAACGCTCTTGAAATAAGTTTCTTGCTAGGTTGCGGAATATAACTGGAATTCGATTCAAAGATTAAATTTTTTGGATGTAATAATTTCAATTTCAGAATACCTCGGGTATTCAACATCAAAAGAAATCATAAGATCTCCCATCAGTGAGCGATCCACAGGGTGTGGCATGCCTTCTCCCTCCACAATTTTAATATAATCTGGCCTGTTCAAACAATTACATTGTGGGTTTTCAACTGCCTTTTTTTAACGCAATTATTAATTCTTACGTTACAACTTGCGTTATTGCTACTCTCAATGTTCTTTTGTCAATGGTATTTACAGTAACAGTAGTTCCTATTAGAGCCTCTTCAATTGTTATTTTGGCTTTCATGTAAATGTTTACACCTTCCCTTCTAAAAACAGGATGCGGTTTGTCTTCAATGACAAACACAATGTCACCTGCAACAAAAAGTTACTGTGCTTGATATAAAAAGTTCTAAGAAATCTGCAAAGTTATGAATTGTCTCCTATCATCCTGGTAGGCCTGTTTTTTTCACAATTTTGTCTTTCAGAAATTTTTAATTTTACTGCAATATATTTATGATTCACAGACCAATTACTAAACATTGCAAAATGCGCAATTTTTTCTGATAGAAAAAACCAACTAGAAAAGGTGAACTAGGATGATCAGAGACAACCAAGAGCAATTCTTCTGACTAAAACATTTACATTTTGATTAGATTTTATTAGTACCTGGAATTATAGATGGCCCCATGTCTCCACATTCTGGAAACGTAATCTGTGTCCCAACTGGAATTCCTGGAGTTATATTGACGTTCAAAAGTTTCTCCTGTAGTTCTGTCGCATCACAATCTTCAGTCACAAAAGCCCTTCTTTGGATTTTTACAATTTTCAAACCTCCATGGAAAATCTGTTTTTGATGTGGGAATAAAAAAATAAACTTACTCAACAGTCTTGGAAAATTAAAACAAACCTAGATTATGGCTTTTACAAGATTTTCAATTAAAAAAAAAAAAGTCTTCTTTTATGTAGTTATTCTTAAAATAAGATATTACACAATATAACTACTTTTATAATTTAAATTTCTGATATATGTAATTTAGTTCCATTTTAATATTTGTTACAGTTATAGTGTCTGTACGTAGCAAAATAAGATGACATTTATTACATAACCTACATTTATTTTAAAATTTTCTATATATGTAAATATAAATATTTTTATATTCATATCCTACTTCAATTTATATATTGAAACAAACACCTCTTCTAATGATAAAGCTAGTGGTTTTATAAAAGGTGGCTCCTTCTTTTTCACTCCTTTCGAATCACCGAAGGAAAAAAGTGGTGGAGGATCTGTAACAGCGTCCAACAGATCTGCGTATGGGCTTGTTGTGCCGAAAAAGTCCCTGAAATCCCAAATATATTATCATGGCTGTACGAAAGCTGAAATTGTTTTTTACTTATATGTCTTCAGAGGATCGCCATGGTAAGCGTAAGGCGGATTCCATCCATAAGGAGTTACAATGCCTTTCTTTAATCCTTCTTCTCCATATTGGTCATAAAGAGCTTTCAATAAAGGAGAACTCAATACTTCATAAGCCTCTCCGACTAATACGAATAAAGAATAGAGACTTTTGTCATTCTGTCTTTCTGGATTGTACTCTAAAGCCAGTCGTCGATACCTGTAAAGTCCGGTTTTTACATTTCCTCCGACATAAATTTTGTTGTAAATTGAACTTACTCCCTTCTGATGTCTGTAAGAGTTGCACTTTTATTCAGCCCTAGCACTCCATAATAGTCGATCGACCTCTTTGATACCATTAATTCAACATCATTAGACATATTCTATGAATATAAGTAATTTCTTAATTCCAAAAATGAGATCTTGCTAGACACATGGAAGTAAATATTTCTAGTTCAATCCCTCAATCACATATGATAATCAATTGTTACAGTTTAAGTTAACATTTCAACCTTTTTAAATAAATATACCTTCTGAATTTCAACAGAATAGAAAGCATCCTCTTAATATCTTAAGTATCCTCTGTATCCTCTTAATTTGTAGTAAATTGGTCATATTCATCAAGTAACATTATTTTGTATTATCTATTCAAAATAAACCAATTAATTCCAAATAGAATACATACTAGTGCTACACACCCTATGAATGGATTGCTGAGTTATGATCATTATCACATCAAGTTTAACATAATTTATCATGCTTTGTTATTAAAATGACAAGCAAAAGTCAAGCATCATGCTTCTTAGAACAAACAGGAACAACTTGAACTTGATAATCAAATGTATTCTCTGAATACTGATTTGAGCTGGATTTTAAGATATTTGGTTGTCTACAAAGAGATGTGTAGCTTGATCATCATTGATCATCCTGGCATATTTTATGACCTAGTTAAAATCGGTAGACTGTGTTGGAGGTGATGAAGCCATAGGTTTAACAAACTTCAAAAACACTGGCATCTGACAAAGTTTCTATACAAATGGTTTATTTAAAGACAACCACACTTTTAGGTTATGACCTGTGAGGAGCACACTTACTGGTGAGTAAAGTTCATAAAACAAAATATTCTCTTCTAAAAGTAATAACATCCCTGATATTAATGATAAGCAATAAAAATAATAATCCTTGATAATATATAACCCAAGTTTAACAGAGTGTGAAGTAAGTTGTGTTCCTCAAACATAAAATAAATGGGAAAGGGAAAAAACTACAAAAAAATATATTGCCAGATTTTTATTAATAATATTTTAAAGACTATTTTTTCTTTAATGGAATTATGAGTTTGCATATTAGCCAGAGTACAATTCTGCTGATTATTTTGTCATACATAGTGGGTGGGTGCATGTAAAAAGGGCCTGGGGTCGTGGTGGGAATTGAACCCATGACCACAAGATCTATGAGTCGAAAATCTATCATGCTGACCATTCAGCTACCATGATACTTAAAGACTATCACATTCAATGTATGGAAATGCTGTACCATCACCACTCTATAATCGTACCAATCATCAAATAATATATTATGTGCATACGGGCTTTTTTCAAAAATATTGTATCTCTAATTCTTGGACAGATCTGACCGATGTGCTTATCGCAACCTTCATTACCTACACAACATCTCTGGGGGTGAGGAACCAACCCCATACCTCATCTAATCCTGATGAGACAGACCTGACGAGGACGAAATTGCTACTTGTATTATCTTAAAATGCCAAGCAATTGCTCAATATTGACATAAATTAGGATACCAAGCGGATCTTGAAAAAAATTGCACCAATATCAATCACTGATCTTATACTTTTTAAAAGAAAGCAATTTTTGGTAGTCATATTTTTGGCAAATTTGTTTGTTGAATCTCCTTTAGTCAATCTCAGTTTCTCTACCATTTTATACACTCCCTGTACCCTGTCATGTCTAAACAGACATCCAGGAAATTTTCTAAGGAAATATTGGACTAAAAATTATCATAAAAATAGGCCCTCAATAGTGTCATGATTTTGTTGGCATAAATAATTCTCAAGAAATTTCCGTGAGAGGGAGAGAGAGAGAGAGAGAGAGAGAGAGAGAGAGAGAGAGAGTGAGATGAGTGGGGTGATGTGGACCTGTAATGCGATCCTTATTGATTATTAGCTGGTCTATTCTCACTGGGTTGGTATCTCAGACACATTTCGGCAGTTTGCCATCTTCAGTGTGTCGACAACAGTTGACCATTACAATAAATTTCTTTGGTCATACCAATGTGAAAGTTGAATTTGAATCAACAGACCCAAGATGTATATGAACCAGCCCAGTGCGGTGGCAGTCCAAGATGGTCAATTGGTAAGTAACAAATTACAGGCAAATAATTCAAATGACAATTACAATCATTTTAATAAATTTTAAAGGGGGTTAGGTTTAATTATTCAAAAAAGAAAATACAATACAAAGATAATTTAAAAAACGATATTACTGAAGACCCTAAGCATAATGATCAGAATTGAGAAGAGTGCTCTGAGTGAACTCAAGTTTATAAACTTTGTATGTTACATTTTATTTTTCTTATTGAAAAAATCTGAAATATGTGTACATAAGTTCATACGTGGCATTGACAGTAGGCACTGTGATACAGAAAGTGCCTGTTTGGTATAATAGAAGAAAACACTTCAAAGCCTGAAATACCAGGTATTTCCTATTATCCATTATTAAGTAATGCTTGGTATGTATCCTCTGCAGATAACAAGAATCTATGGTATACCATTTCCGGCATTTTCTTTGGAATAATTTGGAATAATAGAGAGCTGCTGAACTACCCCAATGACGTGGGTACAAAAATTGAAGGTATGGTGAGAATAGATCTGGCAAGCACTAATCAAAGTGCATTTCCATGTTTTATATTTTAAGCTTTTCCAATTTTTTTCTTTGTTTTTCACCCAAACGTGAAAATTCGGAAAATGGGACTGGGTGGAACGATAGGAACAGGCGGACTTCCCATGACAGTATGTATAATAGCATTTGATTGAATAAACTGTAAATTTTCGGGGGAAACCGACGAATTTCAACGGCGATTAGGAAGACAATAAGTGGAAAAGTGAGCAGGGTCGAGTTTGACACCGTCGACCACCGAGTAGGACGAGAATTTATCGATAAAACTAGCGGCTCGGCTCCTATTAGCGCTCCGACCTGGCCATCAATGCTCCACTTCAAGATAAATGAAACATTTTTGAATGAAAGGTACTGGCACTTTACTAAAAGAAAAATAATGTAATTTTACCATTATTTACATGAAATTTGATATTGTATGTGTTATCTATCGAATTTTTCCCCCAGGATCGTATCTGTTTTTTCGTTTACATGCTCATGCCGCATCGGGACAATAATGACAGATTTAACTATTGTATGCAAATACATTTCAGATGTCTCCTTTCAAAACGAGGCACGTAAAAGGCCTGAAAGCAGACAATTAAGGCCGATCCGCGCTAGAATGCAAGGGATATGTGACAGCCTGGGACCCATCACAAGACAATGGCAAGCATAAAAATGGACACGTGCTTTTCATGAAATTACCAGTCACTGTACAGGGATATAACACTTTGAAATTGAACCCTTTCGCTTTCAACCGAACAACGGATTTTCTCCAGCGTCGTGTCAAAAATTGAACGTTGTATTTATTTCTTCAAATTCGGCGTTAACTTAGAAGATTTGGTCAGTGTACGAAAGTGGTTTTTGAGTCGCGTCGGGTTGTAGAATTGGACATGCCAAACTGTCAACACCGTGGAGTGTTTACGGTTTCCCCTAACCCAGGAATTGAAGGCGCCAGAGTGGTTTCCGGTCGCTGTAGTACTCATTGACCTCCAACGTCTTGATTTTCAAATGTTCCGTACCAAAAGAATTCTATTAAATTATTTATTACACAAAATAGAAAAGTAGTTAGTACCAAAAACCGGAAAAATCTAAATTAGGTTCGCCAGATTTTTCTTTTTATCCAATAAAGCCAATGATATAAGACTATATTTGCACTGATAAAACAAAATGACCGATAATTCTAACGAATTTGGAGTTTGGTGATCATCCTTTTTTTGCAGGTTTGTGAAGAATTTTATATTCGAAGTCAATTTTAGGAACGTGCTATTAAAGACGACACACCAGTAGGAAGTTGCTTAAATTGATAACATTAACTACAGTTTGTAACCAAATGAGGGCAAAGGCGTAGTTTCAAGTTCCGTAGTCAAAGATCATCTCTGAACGAGCTGTTCTTTTATGACCTTGTTACATAACTGAATGATAAATCATTGCCAGTTCAATCATTTCTAAATGTCGTTCGCACGTTCTTTTCGCTTGTTTTACCGCTGTTGCAGATCACCGCAATTCTGCAATTTCATTTCAGCCCAAATATTAAGAGACAAAGATATTTTTTTATGAAGAATATCGTACTACAAAGTAAGAATTTGTTACATATTATCACTGAGAGTAATTTGTTGTGTATCTTTAGAAATTGTAGCCAACGGTACACACGTTTATTTTTAAAAATCAACTATATATTTTATTGTGTCAGTTGTTTTGTTGAAAATGGGGTCCATTTTTTTTTTCATTTTTTTTTAGAGGTTATATATTATGTGAAAATGTAAAGACGGGAAAACAGGTAAAAGGTAGGTACAAAACACAGACAGTTCGTTTTTATAAACTAGTGTCGTAATCGGACATCAAAAACACAAGTGTAGATGTATTTTATAACGGATTGATTTTGCTTTTTTCGTTTTTTGATTTGATATGAGGTTTTAATATTTGGAATGAGCACATCAAAGAGGAATCGACTTTCATCATAGCGCCAGCGTTGTCGAATTCGCCGCAATAGTTGGGCGCTGAGAAGATCGTGACGAGCCGTCTGTTTCCGAAGAATTCGTAGCCGTCTTCGACGACCTGGTGCGCTCTGCAGACCAAGTCCAAGTCGTGCTTTTGGAGGAAGTCCAGGAGGACGTTTTCACCGAACGAGACGGACACGCCTCTCTCGTTTTCGCCCCAACCGATGACGTCCCTGTCAGGATCGGACCACAATAGATCGCAGAGAATTCCCGCCTCGGGGACTTCCGTCGGCCTTCTTATCCTCCTGATCTGCTCCAGCTTGTAGAGGTTCGGGCTCAGCCCTCCGTGACAGCAGAATATCCTGTCGTCGACGACGGCCGCGATCGGCAGGCAGTTGAACACGTCCGAAAACGTCTTCCACATCTTCACGTTGAACCTCCTCTTGCACTCGTCGAAGAAGCCGTACACCTTGTTGATGCAGGCGCATTCGTGATTGCCTCTCAGGAGAAAGAAGTTCTCCGGGTATTTTATTTTGTAGGCGAGCAGCAGACAGATCGTCTCCAAAGACTGCTTGCCCCTGTCGATGTAATCGCCGAGGAAGAGGTAATTGGCCTCCGGAGGATAGCCGCAGATGTCGAACAGCCGGAGCAGATCCGTGAACTGGCCGTGGATGTCTCCGCAAATCGTGAGAGGCGCTTCCAACTCCAACAACGAGGGCTGCTCGAGTAAAATCTCCCTAGATCTTTGACAGAGGATCGTCACCTCGCCTTCCGTCAAAGTGCTCTTAGCGCAGCGAGCTCCCCGCATTTCGATAAGCCTCACGATAAAACCGTCCAGGTCCATAAGGAAGTCACTTTTTATGTCCACCTATAACAAATAAATATAAGCATGTGCAAAAATTTACAACTCTTGAGCCTTTAAAATTTTTAAGTCAAATCGTTTTAAAAGTTTGACTGTCACAAAACAAAACATTTAAGTAAAAACTGAACATTCGGAGCTACTATTTTTTTAAAGACTTTCACACATGTTTAAAAAAGAAAATGAAGTTCAACCACAATAACATCAAACAAATAGTCCGCGATATCAATTGTATGACTACATTTTACATTTTACAATTGTAATTTTCTGCAACCTGCAAGTCTGACAATGAACAAAAGTCTTACATTCTAAAATCAACCACCATAAAATATAATACCCAAAAGGTAAAAGTAAACTACTGATATTGATGATTGAATTGATAATTAAATTGATAAATTGATTAAATTGAATAGAACTAAATTGATTATTGAATTAATAACTATAAAATTAAACATTGCAATCCGTGCCTCTATTAGTTTACATAATCTTGGCGTCACACTACTCCCTATTTTGAAATTGAACATAAATCAGATACCACCCTGGGTACTCCCAAAATATACCTATCACTCACAAAAAATGTTAAAAGTAAGGCCCTCTGTATACGCCAAGAATTAAACAAACTACCACACACAACTTTTTGCTGTACAGATGGGTCCAAATCCCCTTCAGGAAAAGGAGCCAGTCTTACAGTGTAGTTTGTGACAGTAGGAAATACATGTTCTCACTCTCAAATTTATGTAGCAGTTATACTGCGGAGCTGATTGCCATAAGCAAATGTCTAAACTTAATAGTACCATCATACGATAAAATAGCCATATGCACCGATTCACTTTCAGCACTTTTTTTAATAAAAAATAAATTTACTGATAAATCTATTAATCAAGACATACTTTTTTTCTCTAAGACATCTACACTCAATAGGAATTGATGTGTTCTTTACATGGATACCTAGCCATTGTCAAATAGCGGGAAATGAACTATCAGACCAAGCTGCGAGGCCATCGAGAGTGGTTTTCCAGTAACATCGGTTCACCAATGAAGACGTAGTAAGTGTTACTAAAACAAAAATTTGGTCATCCTGGCAACAAATGTGTTACAATGTAACGGGGAACAAGCTACACGAAATAAAAAGTATTGATAGTCCTTGGAAACCATCAATTAGACAATCTAGATTTGAAGAAACGGTGTTAACAAGACTAAGAATTGGCCATACCCGTCATACTCATGGTTATTTGATGTCACGAGACCAATCACCCAAGTGTCAAAACTGAAGAAATCCTAACTGTAAAACACTTAGTAATAGACTGTCATAGCTATAACAACAGCAAAAAAACCTTAAATATATCAAATTCAATAAATCAAATATTATGAAATCAAAAAGAAAACATTGACAAACTATTGCAATTTTTACGTGTTAATAGCCTAACTAATAGAATTTAATTTTCATCATAAATATTATTTATCAACGCGGACATGTCCCTAGTGGTTGAACGCCTATATAAAAAAGAAAAAGAAAGAAAAAACTATTGACAAATGAAGTAGTGTATGTTTAACAATTCCCAATAATAACTATAAATAGAAAAAATATTACCAGATTAGGTTTCAAACACCGACGTTATATACCAAATATATATATAATAAAAAATAATATATATAAAAATGTATATTTTATGTATATAATATATATTTATATACATTATAATATGTATAAGATATATTTATTTATTTTTTGTTGCGAAATTTGTACTTGCATCAAGATATGCAATACACAAATGATATACTAAACATCGGGATTTTATAGGGAGCATATTTCTCGGATAAGATGGTGTGTGTTCATTCTTAAGGAGGTCGGTGTATTGTTGTAAGTAAAAATTGGTGATCTTACGGAGGCTTTTTGTCTGCAGTGACTGAATTATTTTGAAATTGATTTGATTGAAATTTAAACCAATGGTTATTAGAATTAAACTTTTAGGGTCTTATGCTTCCGGACTTTTAGGTCATTAACATGTTGCTACTATACTTCTGGCCCTTTTGATCGACTTAATCTAGATATTGAGTTTTTTCTTTAGATCTGCTGAGTAATGGACCTCATCCTAGCTATTTTGTTTTGTAAGAGTGTGGGGATTGTAAAGTGTTGGGTTTCGGTTTCTCGCCATCTTCAGTGGTGCGTTTGTATGTAATGTACGAACAAGAAATGAATGCGGGATGTCAGATCTAAACTTTTTTTATGCCAAAATAAAACTTGAAGGCTCTGACGATGATTGCACGCAGGTCTATTCCAACTGTCATTTTATTGGGTGTTATTTTTTTCACGTCCTTTGACGTGACGGAACAATTAAAAATATTTTAACGGTTTGTTCTGTATAGTTTTGGGTTGTGTTCTTCTATGACGGATTGTGCTGAGCTTATTAAACAAACTACCCTGCATTGTAACTCAAAGTCATGTACACGGTGAAGGTTTAGGGCTGTGTTACAACTCAGCTGCTAAAGGAGCGGAATTATTTAACATGTATTAGAAAGCCGTAAAGTTACCGGGTTAGAGACCTAATGAAATGACATCTTGAGTGTTAATACAGAACGCTTTGCTCGTCTTATGCTTAACAACGGGCTTAATAAAATTGAAGATTGTAATGAGGATTGTTTTTTTATAATCTTGAACACCATCCCAGCAAAAACTTTGCTTTTTGTGAAAGGCAAATATTTATTTCAAACCTAGAAAAATTTAGTTCAACCAACATTATTTCTCAGAAATCGTGAGATGCGGTCTGGTGTGATGTAGGTTTCAGAAAAACATTTTTTTTATCGTGCCAACGTTTCGATCTTTATTGAGATCATCTTCAGGGCTCAAAGTGTTTGTCTTCTGTGTAATTGTGCCATTCTTGCGTGTCGTGTTGAGAGTGCAACACGCAAGAATGACACAATTACACAGAAGACAAACACTTTGAGTGAGTAGAAATACTTTGATTGAATATATAAAAAATATATTTTGCATTGTATACATTCACTTTTCCACATCCAAAATGTAATTGTTATATGTAAACAATGTTTGTAGATCCTAGGCTCTGAAGATGATCTCAATAAAGATCGAAACGTTGGCACGATAAAGAAAATGTTTTTCTGAAACTACATCACACCAGACCGCATCTCACGATTTCTGAACAATTATCGATTAACGGTCACTAACCTCCACACATTTCAACATTATTTTGTTTTCAATTTTTTTCGGTTTTGATTTCTGAAAAAAATTGTTTTTATTTAAAAAATAAACGTGTCGTCTTTGAGTTGTTCACTTCAGCGATGACCTTTGTGTAAAACATTCGCACTTTCAGCCATCTGGTATTTATCGTTCCTAATGGTCTCAGCGTGGAAAGGCTCTCAGTTGCTCAAATGATTGAGAACATCCAACCGTTTAGTGCACAGAGCCAACTATCTATCGATCGCACAAAGTACCCATTTTCAAGGATAGGTCCGTCGGTAACTGCATATTGACGTGAATTACAGGTTCCGTCCAAATATTTGAATTGAAATCTTAAAAATATCATCCTCTCTTGACGAGGAAAAACAGAAATAACTTTTTAATGCATAAAACTTTTTTTTTGTGTTTATATTTCCTGAATGTACAAAAATTGTATTGTCAGGCTTAAAGAATATTTAAAAATTATTAGAGAATTTGAATAAATATAAAATGTGTGTTTTAGTTTCAGAAAAGTACACATTTATTGTACAATTGTTACATTATATGCGGTCTTTAAAAACTTATTCTTAATATGAAATAAAATTTAAAATACATTGGTAGAACAATGGCAAATTCTCGCTGTTATAATTCGATTTTGATGAACTGCACGGATCTTGCTAACCGTTTCCTTGGAACGCGCACATTATTGATGTAACCTTACGGTTCACTGAAGGTATTGACCGCGTACAAAGCCAGTATGTTTGGGCACATAAATCGAACGCATCCGACACGGATGGCCCGTTAATATTTAAACGCAACTAAAATTAAACAACTTACGTCATGACAGTTTAAACTGGTACACTGATTGTTCATGTCTTATGTTATAAACGGACGGTGATCAGTGGAAAACGGACATAGCTGGTCCTCCGGCCGTTCCTTCTTTGCTTCGAAATGATTTGCGTGTCAAAAGTGTGGTTTTTTGTAGTGTTTCCATGTGAATTTGACAAATGTAGTCAGTTTGTAGATCAGCGTTGCAGCTGACTTTCATTCCAATATGTTCTTTCATACCTTCGTGGTTCACACGTTCCTATCACGGAAGAATGTATAAAAAAAAAATTTAAATGCTCTCTGAGGATTTCAATGTTTCATTGTAAAAACGACATAAACAAATATTTAAAAAATTATATTTGTTTTATTTAAAAAAAATCTATAACAAAGAAGTCAAATAGATTCAACATTAATTTATTTTTGTCAAACCTCAATGGTATTTATTATGTTTATCACTTATTCTTTAGCACTTATTTTTTAGCATAAAGATACTCAAAAGCAATTTTAGGAATTTTGTAATAACTTTTATCATACGAAACTAGTGATATATCTCTTCTCACTCATTTTTTTGTTTGTTTTTAGGTTTTATTTGTAGTAAACCTACTAACATTATTGTACCTAATTTTATAGCTATGTATAGTAAAAAAATTATTACTCATTTAAATATATTTTCCATTGAGATTCATAGGTTTACGTAATTTAATGCTCAACATCTGTTAATTTATAGACAGATAATCATGTCTTTTACAATTACTACATTTTTCAATTTTTTCATTCCAAACATTCTGCCAAAAAAGTCATACAGGATTGGTCAATTCAGTTCAAAATTTAAGTCATAGGAAAGTTTAACGTACAACAACCCGCTGGGCGTCACGGACGAAAGATTAAACCACTTTACAACACTTTTTTCAAATTATTTTCCAACAAAACTTCAAAGGCTATGCAGGGATTCGAACCTAGAATCAAAAGCATGGCAATTAAGAGAGACGGACGCCTTAATGACTCGTCCACCGGGGCATCCGTCCATTTAAGTATGCTTTGTTTTGTAAAGCATTTTCTTTTTGTTTATTTAAAAGGCAAATGACATGTTGATACTTACTGTGACTATTCTTTGGGCGTGAAGGATGATCCTTGGCCAAATAATGCGTACACAGGGTAGTCTGCTCTTGAGGTTTTTGAATTTCATTGATTGGTCTTTGCGCTTTCCTATTTCTTTTACTCAAATTTTAATGTTTGGTGAAATATCGAAACGTGCCTGACAGATCGAACCAAGGATTGGCGGACAGAACTGTATGTTCATCGGGTCGAAGGTTGACTGCCCATCATAGCTGGTTTTATCAGACATTTTGTCATTTCAGTGATTGGTCTGTGCTATTTCCCGTATCTTTTTCAAAGGTTGTACTGCCTAATGACATGTCAAACGCGTTTGACAGATCGAACCGAGAAGAAGCAGATCTAACAACAAGTCCATCATCTATCAATTTGATCTTCCTATCCCCGCTGCTTTTACCAGTCGTTATTGTATTTCAATGGTTGATCTGTGCTATGGACCGTATCATTTTCATAGTTTCTAATGTTGGTGAAATATCGGAAACCAAGGACTAATAGACCAATTGCAGTTTTATCGTCTCGCAGTTTGGTCTGCCCTTCTTAACAGGTTTCGTGACGCGTTTTTTGCATGACCGCTGTTGGTCTGTGCGCTTTGCGATACCTATTTAGTATATCTTAAGGACGGTTAAATGTTGAAATGCGTCTGTCAGATCGAACCGAGGATAAAAAAACCAAAGTACAGGTTCATCACCTCGCAGTTTGATATGCCCATCTTAACTGGTTTCATGACGCGTTTATGCATTTCAGTGGTTGGTCTGTGCGCTTTCCCGTATCTTTTTCTAAGGTTGGTGAAATGTTGAAATGTGTCGGTCTGATCGAGCCGACGGTAGGAAGACCAAACTTCAGGTTCATCACCTCGCAGTTGATCGGCCCGTGCTTGTTTCATGAAGTTTCTTTGCATTTCAATGGTTTACCTAGGTCTTTGTTTCATAGTTTCTAATGATTGGTGAAATGTCGACATGAGCTTAACAGGTTGAACAAACGATAAGCAGAACTAACTGCAGATTCATCACTTCCCAGTTTGGTCTGCCTTTCTTCGCTAGTTTTATCAGCCTTTTTTTCCGTTTCCCCGTTTTGTCTTGACGCTTTCAGGTACCTCTTTTGTAGCACCTAATGGCTGTAAAATAACGAAACGTACCCTTCAGAACAAACCGAAGATTGGTAGATCAGACTGCAGGTTCCTCGCCTCTCAATTTGGTCTACTCATCATTGCTAATTTCATAACGCCTTTTTTCATTCTACTGGTTTGTCTGTGCGCTTTTTCTTATCTTTCCCGGTTTTAATGGTTGGTAAAATGTCGAAACTCGTCTGACCGATGGAACCTTGCATTGCCGTATAAAATTTAAGGTTCAACGCCTTCAATGTAAACCCATTCATTACTCTCTGAATGTAGTTTTTATTTTGGAACGCAATAATTTAATTTTTTAATAATCATACAAAAGCAGTTTTCCGTGATATTTAGTATCGGGATATTTTCATCGATCTCACATCACGGAATTCTTCAGATTTAGATAGCCAATTAAAATTTTCTACCAGGCCTCCTAGAAATTCAAATTCAGCCAAATTTCTATATTGTCATGAGACATTTTTTGTTCGCCTTCACATTTCTACGGCATATATCTCCAAAAAACTACCACCTAAAACTATATCCTTTTCATTCCGTCAGTCCAGTGAACTTGACTAAACAACAGCTAATTGCTCGAGACGACTTAGCTTTCAGACGTTTCACATATATTCTAAATAAATAATCCGTCCATTATCTCGACCATAAACTTTGGAATACCGCAGAAACTCTAACAACCACACGTCAACACACTCGACCTTTGCGGCTGACCGCAGCTAACAATGTTTAATACTAAATATTTCAAACGACGAAGCAATAATTACTCATTATCTTAAGTTTAGTTTTTTATTGTTTGGCTACGTTACTACACTTTATTGCATGACTTTATGTATTGCGCCTTATTTAATGTTTTCATCTTCAGAAGAACGGTATCGAGTTTGTTACTATCGATTCTTCGTATTTCTTCAATATATGCTTAGTTATTTAAGAGTAAAAATTCAATAAATATTACCCTTAAGGAGAAAAGACACTCCGTTCAACAAATTGTACAATCGTACAACCTTAGTAGTTAATTTGTTGGCAGTAATTGATTTATTTATTATGGTTTACTAAACTATTTTTACATTTATGTGGAGTTTCAATTCATGGACCTACATGGAGGTCATTAGACAGGTAAAGAAAGAAGAAGACTAATTATTTGGTTCACCAAGCTTTCGGCAACTTATAGTGCCATCATCAGGGCCTATTTATTAAAAATTAAAATAAATAATAAACAATTAACAGTTAACAAAATAAAATAATATATATACTTTCCCAAGAGTGAAAGCTTGGTGAACTCAACAATTAGTCTTCTTCTTTCTTCACATGTCTAATGACCTCCATGAAGATTGAAACTCCACATAGATTATCAGCAGGTCGATTAACAAACATCATATTTTTACATTGGTCACATTTTTGTAGATGAACTTTGACGTACCTAGTTTTGGGAAGCAACACTTGAATAACTTCTTGATCTGTTACAATTTAGGCATGTCAGGAGTGTCACAAGGAAGCATCCTGAGTACAGGTAGCCGACGACGTATACTTAATAGCACCATTGTCTCAGTGAAGGCTCCATCATCATTAAAATGTCAGCGACCAAATTGAACCTTTCGACTTTCTTCTTAGTGTGATGTTTTCTAGCAAAGTTTTGATGATTACGCTATGAAAAGTAATAAAGTGCTTTCCTGCAGCTTTCTTCACCGCGGTAGAAATGCAGCTTATTATCTGTAATCACAGCCGTGTAAACCTGAGATGGAAATATTAAGCATCTAAAGTTCGACAATGGTCCTGAAAGCCGCGTCAAGGACGTATCACCTCCTATGACTGAAAAGTAAGCGCCTGCAGTACATTTCTCTAGGGAGCTGTTGCTGTCTAAAAAACAATATGGTTCTTCACCACAAAATAAAATACATTGTATACTTCAACTGCTTACATTCCAAACATCTAAGAAATTTCAGATGGTATAAGACGTCGTAGGGAATTTCTTATTCCTGGATGATCAATAATTATTTAAATAGCCAATCGCCTCGTCTACAAAACAGCTTATTAAAAATAAGGTGTCAGGACTCTTGAGTTAAACTTACTAGTTAGGACTAATTTTTCATCAAAGTTATAAGTTACATAATTATACATATTTACATGTAATATCAAGACTTAAGTTATGAATGATAAAGTGTCTATATTGACGCCTATTCTTGTTAGGTTCTGATAGAACAATAAAGTCATATGAAAAAATAAAAAATACAATTGAAACATTTTGCTTAAACAGTCAGTGAAAGGCTTAAAAGTGGTAGAGAATGGGTCCTCCTCTCCAAACTCATAACAAATTAATTATTTAATATAAATATTATTACATAATATAAACTTGTTATTAACTAAATGTATGCTTTTGAAACAATATAGTTCACATACAAAAAAATTGAAAACCAATTGTAAGATTTCAGCTTGCCTCTTCCTGATTCTCTTGAACGGGTTGGAAAATTTGATAATTCATTTTATTAAATTGTTGTAGGAAATTTTAAGTGATAAAGTAATAATAATGTAGATTCTTTCTTATTTGATTAAACGATCCACAAAGTGATAAAGTTCAATTCAATAAGCATGCCACTTTGAGATGACGTACTTAATAGTGTACGTTGTAAGGAATATGTATGCCGGGCCTTTTTATTTTATGTATTGCATTAAAAAACATATAACTATGAAGGGCGTACTATATTTTTGTAAGTTATATTTTTACTGTTGCCAGTTTAAAAAGTGGTTTTCGAGTGGTACAGCTTTATAGATTGTTGTGGTTCTCGGCGTCGAGGTGTGCGCCGTCGCCGAGCGGGGGCATCTATAAAATTAAGTGAATGAAATTAGGGATGTCGAACCCACGGGGATGACTACGACCGCTTAAGATGGGGTTGGCTTAATCAGGATAAATTTGTTAAAATAAATTGCCATTTTCGGCGAAATAGGCCGAAAGTCGCGGAAGAGAGTGGATTTTTATCCACGGCCAAATTTTCAAATTATTTTTTTCCGGTTTTTTATTATTTTTTTTTATTTCCTACTTCCCTT